GCAGTTTTTGACGGGAAGCAAATTATCAGTATTTATTTATTCGATGTTTCCGTTTGTTTAGTTTATCTTTTTATACTTGTTTCTGGGATCTCTGGTCCTGAAAACTCATTGAGAAAAAGAATTCTCAACCTATGTCAGTGCCCAGGTATGCTGTGTTAGATACTTAAAATGCTAAGCAGCTCTCATCATGGGTTCTCCTAGGAGCTAAAATGTAATTAAATTATTTCCCTTTGAAGTATTTTTGACCTACCCCACCGTGCCCTTTGATTGAGCACCCAAATTAGTTTCGCGTGCCAATAACACGTGATCTTTGCCTGCACATTATTGTCAAGTCTCTAAAAAAAAAATTTGATGTCTTGGATAGTGCTGCCGTTAATTGTTTCCATTAATTGCAGAATAATTGATATTCTTGATGCACTTAAGAAAATTAATCCTCTCTCGGCAGTTATATGAGGGATGCGGCAACCGTTTGTGTAAAAGAATGATTCGAGAGAGCTAAAAAAAAAAAAAAAAAAAAAAAAAAAAAAAAAAAAAAAACCCCTAATATTATACAAATAACGTATTTATTAAAGAAAATGTGCCCTTTTTGGCTTAGATAGGTTTTCAATGGCTGCTTCGAAGTTCTTTTGCGATCCATTGCTTTTTGCCTCGCCTAACAATTCTCATTTCTTAATTAGTCAACCCCATTCCAAATTTCACGGCACTACGGTTGACATGTACCTAATCTTATTTTATTTTTCTTTTTGAAAAAAAAATTCTCTTTGATTAAAAAGTAAGTGATCATGTCTATCGTGGGATTGTACTGTGCAATTACTTTATACCAAAGCGCATTATGGTCTCTTTACGTCATAAATAAATACCTATATATAAACAAGGGGAAGTGCAATGAACAATTTAGAATATTAAGGCGGCGATTCTCGTGTAATTTTAGCTGTTTCATGGCCAATTATCATAACCATAAATCTGGAGTAATTATTACAATCTGGGTTTTCTCCTCTGATTTTACGTGTTCGAGTAATACTATAATGACAAACTCACCACATCCGCATAAAGTGCCACCGGGTTCGATATCGATGGCTATATTTTGACGTATTTCTATCAAACGGAACTATGTGCATTAAGACATGAGCCCTGATACCCATAAGAATACATGCATAACAGGGCTCATGTCATAATGCAAATAGTTCTGTTTGATAGAAATACCTCCATTTCGAAACCACGTATCTTTGTTTGCGAAGTTGCTGTCATACTTTATTTTTTCTTTGGGAAACTATATAGTCAATGTAATTTCTTGATTTTTATTTTCCATTCTGATTAAATTTCAAGCTATTAGGTCGGTTTGTTTCTCTTCGAAAAAATGAAATTAAAGCGGAAATTTTGAAACACTGCAATGAAGCTACGTGATTTTGCACTTTGTTTATCGATATCAAAAATCTTTGCGATATCCGGGATTCCTGCATGCTATGTTCCTTAACAGCCCTGTTGTGTAATATCATGCTCCTCTGTGCTGGCAGTGAGTGGCGAGTCAAAAGTTCACTCACTACGACCTCAACATGACTCATACTTTGGCCTCTGTCTCTTCGTGGGAGTAAAATTTGGCAGAACGTGAACTTTGATTTGCACCATTGTCGCGCGATGAGGCATTCAATAAATCCACTCCAGGGCAGTTCAGGTGGTTGCAGTCCATTAAGTGTAAGGAAATCACCGAGCAATTTCGGAGGGTTCCTTATTGTTGGTTGTTGAACTGTGAGTACGTGTGGCTGTCCACTGTCCAGTGTCCGTGAGCACTAGGATGTTAGTTCCTAAAATGCTTTGACAAATTTTTTGGCGCCATAAAAATTTAAATTTAACCAGGGTTATGACGGGTTGAAGTTTGAACTGAAGATCAGTAAAATCGTTTCGAGGAAAAATATTTCAGTTAAATTGATTGGGAACAATAAAAGAATTCAGGATAATGTTTTTGAGGCCTCTTCCGTGGAATTTGACATTGTAGAAATTAATCTGTCCAACCCCAGGTTATAAATTTGCGTGCAAAGAAGACGACAATATATGCACTTTTTTTAAAGCAGTATGGGTACATTTAGAGCTTATCAGAGTGTGTTACCGAGAATAACGCTACCAGCACAAACCTTGATTCATGCATTATAAACCTTGAAATGAACGGATTCGGATCGAATTTTTGTCGGGTTTACCGAAAATTTTTCCTCGACCTAAGCAACTTTTCCTCCGCGAAAAATGAGGAAATCTTCTCAATCCACGATTGGGTTTTTTTTTTTTTCTAACTCCTCTCGCGGGTTGAGGAAGTGTTGTCATTAAAAATTTTCGCGATATTTCATCATTTCTAGGCGTTTTATTTGACACTGCCCCTCGCGGTTGTGTTCGGGGACCGAAAGAATTTTCCACTGTAGCGGGGTTTCGTCTAACCCGTAGTCCGACCTATCGTATACAGCGAGATTTCACTGTACTTCCGCGTACATTACATCGATGTATTGGTAATTTTCGCGAGCGCACGCGACGACGCGGATAGGGGGGGGGGGGGGGGGTTGAGCGGCATCCCGAGGTCCCCGTCCCAGTCGGATCCGTCGTCGCGGCTCTAGACGGATTCCGGATTCCGGGTCCAAGGTGAGACGAGCTATCCCGACTCCACGACGGGACCACTCGTGGAGCGGGGTGAAAGGGGGGGAGGTGTCCCCGATTGTCGCATGCCGCGGTCGCCGGCGCCGTTTTTGGCTCCCGAACCCGGACCCGGCTTCCGCCTTATTTCCCGTCCGCATCGGTTCCGGCAGTGTCGCTTTTCCGCGAGCCATGGTTGCCATAAAGTGCTAAGAAGCGGCAAGTTTCCCCGTGTGAACCGATATAAAATATCCAAATTTTACCGTGCAATCTAATAACCTTGCCGGGAGCCCACCGTACCGATTTCTCGCTACGATCACTGAAAAAAAAAAACACATTGGATCTAGAGTCCAGACTCTTAAAAACATCGACAAGAAAAATTACTCTTGATTCAATCGGATTTTAGCTTAAATCAAGAACCATAGCCTCTTAATTTGAGCGGATTTCCTTTTGATTTAAGCAAAAATCTGATTGAATCAAGAGTCCTTTTTCTTGTCAATGTTTTCAAGAGTCTGGACTCAAGATCCAATGTGTTCTTTTTCCAGTGATTGTCTCTTGTTAGTATGGTGTTTTCCTTACAGGGGTGCTCCTCCTGCGGACCGATTATTAAAACTGATAGAAAAAGAGGACATTGTGCGAACTGTAGCTTCTGATTGTAAAATGTGGTCTAGTTTTCCCCCAAATGTGATTTTTTTCCCGCATTCTGTTGATTTTTGCAAGAAGTCCTAGTAAAAACCAAGTGACCAGCAGTTTCTTGGTGTAAATACAATTTACCAGTGAAAAATTTGCAACGTCGAAATGTAGTACGTTTCTTTCGTTTGGGTAATAAAGAAATGCAGGTAATCAAATTTAAAGACGCGCTATGACCGTTTCTTGCAGTGCCCGATGTGAGTTCTCTGCTAGTATGCTTCATGCAGCGAGGCGGCAATGATCGATTATCGATATATCCCATTTGAAGCTGTGTTAAATAATCGATTATTAGTGTTCGTAGCGAACACCCTGTGGATCGATCCTTTTCCATAGGTTCAAACGGCAGATAAATCGATACATCGCAAAGCACGTCACGCCATTAGTATGCCATCCCGTCTTTCGCGGAAGTATACCGGCAATGGAATTTTTCCTTGAGGAACGCAAGGAGACACGTCAGAGCGTTCCAGCCGAAAGCTCCTGTCCGCTCCCCCGCACAAGTTTCTCCGGCGCAAGTTTATCGTACTGTGTCATCGCGGGCTATGCTAAAAGGAACTATGTCGAACGCGAAACCTATGTACATAGTTTCTTTTAGCATAAATGTGTCCACTCGTCACTCTCGTCAATTGTTAACCTTGATCTCGGTGCTCATCCGCTGAGCCGAGAATGTCTTCTCTCGCGCTTTTGCCTCCGACAGGAGTGTCGGGTTCCGCTCCCTGGTTTTCAGGTCAGTCGCTTGTACTCAGGGATAGTTCTCGGAGACAGGGCTCCCACGTTCAGGCCCTGAACCTCAGGGTCAAAATATGGCATAGTCCCTCATAAACGGATTTTGAGCATCACTTTGTCGCCCCTCTGACGCGGGGGCGTATTTCAATTCCCACGTTGGTCCTGTTTTATATATGGACGTATTTATGCTAAAAGGAACTATGTGCATAAGGTTTATGTGCAACATAGTTCCTTTTACCATAAATACGTCGATATGAATCTATCTGGGGCTGCGAGAATCGAGATACGTCCTTACGTTAGAGTAGCGAACATTTTAAGGTTCCCGCTGGGCAAAGGGAATTTGCGAGGCAACCAATGATTTCCTTGTGGATTAAATTTTTCAAAGGTGCACTGGTTTTCTTTTCAACAATGACGTTCAATTTTTCATTGATTATGGAATAAAAAAAAAAAAATTAACACCGGAGATTTTAAAACGTCGCAATGGAGATGCGCATTTTTACATTTTACGAATGGAGAATTTGCAGGTGTCTAAAATTTCGTGAATTTTGTGTTTAAAATAAAATTACCTAGAGAACGAAGCACGAGGATATCCTTGGTTCCTAAATTGAACAATTATTGGAGGAAATACGAAATGGCAAAGTCAGCTAAAGTACATGTGTTTAAATGAGAAATGCCGCCGGATGACGTCAAAAAGCGGCACATTTTCTCACTTTTAAATCTATTTTTATACTATTCCCTATTTCAGAGAAAAATTGTGAAAAACTCTGTGAACTTAGCTCATTGAGCACTCTCAGATGAAGCATGTGCAAATTCTCCAGTATGTTGAATGGAGGAGGGGGATAATCGCCCCTTTTTTGGAATCCGTCCCAGGAGAACCCCCATGATGATTTACTTTTTCACCACTTGTGATAAACCCTCCTCGGAGAAAATTGATGAGCCACTTGTAACGATGTTTGCGTTTTTGTGTGTTGCAGGCGTGACAATGTGTTCAGTAGCGATGCCAACCGACTTCGAGATGCGGGTGGGGCACTCACCATCGGCCTCCGGGTTCTTCCCGGGCCTGGCCCCGTGGCCGCGCTCCTACTTCCCGCGGCAGACCCACTCGCAGGCCCAGCGCCTATCCCGCCCGGCGCAGCCCACCCCTCTGGGCCTCATTGGCAAGTCCTTCTCGGCCCCCCCGCCGGCCCCCCGACCCTGCCTCGTGACCCGCCAATCCAGCTCAGACGACTCCGGCTCATCCTCCGACGAGAACGACGCTCCATCACCCACACGCCTCAAGAAGAAGGTCGTTTTCGCCGATGACAGAGGACTGTCACTCACACAAGTAAGTTCTCATACTTCCAACTTTTAGAATACTTCACGACCCTAATGGAGAGCACAGTAGGAGCACTAAGCTTTAAATGTTAAAGTAAATCCATGGGTGGAGCCTGAGGGGTCTCGCCCCCCCCCCTTTAGAGCGTTTTGATCATATCAGTTTCACGAACAGATTGTTGGGTTTAACGAACCGAATAGTTTGGATGACATAGAATACCATCTCCTTCATTTGGACTACATTTTGCAATAAGGAACCACTGTTTCTGGCTCATTTTAGAAACAACATATATGCCATTGGTTTTCCTATGCAGAGAGGAGCTTTTGCAGAAGAACCGGAGATAGTGCATTGGAAAAAAAACCACATTCGATATAGAGTTCAGACTCTTAAAAACATCGACAAGAGAAAATACTCTTGATTCAATCGGATTTTTGCTTCATTCAAGAACCAAGCCTCTTAATTTGAGCGGATTTCCTTTTGATTTAAGCAAAAATCTGATTGAATCAAGAGTATTTTTTCTTGTCAATGTTTTCATGAGTCTGGACTCTAGATACATTGTGTTTTTTTCTAGTGTGGTTCCTTATTGCAAAATGTAATCCATTTCTCCTTTAATTTCATTCATTGGTCAAAATACTTGTATCGCTTGTGTTTCGCCCTATCTATCTTTTCTACCCGTGCGTTAAAGTCTCTAAATCAGCCGAAAAGAGTCCACGCTGTCCTTCATTTCGATAATATGCAAACTTACCTTCTCGGAAGTCGAAATAATTGTAAAACGCGTTCCGCTCCATCCAACTTTTGCGTAAGATCTTTGGAATTGTGTAGGGCAGCGCGTGCACACAACTTTGGAAGGTGTACGCAAAAATGAACTGATTTTTTATCAAGACGTAATGACATCCATTTTCCGAGGTCGTAACCTACGCAATTTTCTCATTGTCTACGCAGTTCCCCAACGACCAATCGGTCGTTGGTTCAGGAACACTTACGAACACCCCTGCACAAATCACGAATCACTCGCTCATTTGCCTTTTTTGTATCAGTTTACCTCAAAAAAAAGTTTATAGATCGTATTTTTTGAAGAAACTCCGCCCTTTTTTGAAACCGTCTTTCAATCCCTATAGGAACCACGTCGGGGGAAAAATGCCAAGACCCGTGTGTCACTCATTAAACTCAATTCATTTAAACTTAAATGTACTCTCTGAAATGGACGTTTTTCTGCCAAACGGAACTAGAGACGTGTGGGGAAGATCGAGATGTGCCTGTGCTCGTTTTAGCTTGATAAGAAACAATGTAAAAGTGAGCGTGATTCCTTTTGGGGAAATGGAAAAGCGGGATTTTACATTCTATCAAACAGAATTAAGCTCTACCTGTATGCGGCACTCATGAGCCGTGGACACGTGACAAGAGCGTTGTGGACAGGGCTCATGAGTTAATTCGGCAGCATCCTTATCGTCCCTCCCGTCGCCGCCGCTGACGTCACTGGCGCTTTATAATTCCCATTCATTCTCACGGCCCTGGACTAACGAGCAGACCCCTTTTTTCCCGCACCTCTCTAGTTCCGTCCCGCAGCGATACTTCCAAATATCAAACGATGCTGACCAACTTGAACTGAATTTGTTTCAGGTTCGCCTCATGACAGAATCACCAGCTCAGCGAGGCTATTGGCGTTCACGAACCCTCGACTTCATTCCATCGTCCCCTCCAACCGGGCCGAAGAGCAGCAGTCCAACCAGCACCGACTCATGGGAGATCACCTTCTCGCAACCGGCCTCCGATTACGTGTCCTTCCGCAAGAGGCTGGACACCTGCAACGTCTCCCTGGAGAACGTCATCGTCAAAGACCAGGAGATCTCCGGCACGATCAAAGTGAAAAACCTCTCCTTCAAGAAAGACGTCTTCGTCCGCTCGACCACTGACAACTGGCTCACTTACCAGGACACGCATGCCACTTTCATAAACAACACCGTCAACTCCGCCGTTCAGGTGCTCTACGACACCTTCAACTTCAAGCTGGCGCTGCCACCCGTCGCCAATGTGGTAGAGTTGTGCGTTTGCTACCAATACGACTCGACGGAGCACTGGGATAACAACAACGGCCAAAACTACGTGATCAAAAGGAAGATCGTGGAGAAGCCTTTCATCTTCAAGCCAGAGCCAAGCCCGGCCCAACCCCAGCCGAAACGATACACTGATGCGGTGAGGGCCAAGTTGGACACTTGGTCCGAATTCGCCAGCTGGAACCATCTTGTCAACGAGGGGCCGTATTGGTGAGATGGTTTTGAGCTCTGATTCATACTTCAGTAATTTGTCTGACCACAAACACTGACCAGCGCTGCAGACCTCTGTTGTTGAGCTTCCGATCGAAGCTAGCACTTCGAACAGGTACTCGCTAGCCTGGAGGAGATGTCGATGCGGGTGTCTGCAGAACCTGTTCCTGACCCGTTGAGTGCTCACTTGCCTTTTTTAAGTGTTTTCCTACAAGGATAGGCACTCGTGAATACTTTCATTGCAGTTGATATTTTTGTGATCGACCCATTATAAATGTCACGATTATCCTGTTATTTAAACCAAATCTGAGGGATTCTCAATTGTTTGAATGAGATAGTTTGGGGAGCCGATCAGGATTCAAGTTGCGAAAAAGCGCACTTACTTATCGTGAGTGCGTTGAGCTTTCTTGTTATGGTTGAGTAGGTAAGTTGAGGCTATGGTTTGTCTCGACTAATGAACGTAACTGTACCTATTTTGTTAGACATTTTTTTACACTCCTGCTCGTAAACATATTTTGAAATAGTATGATTTAAATGCGTTAGGATTCAGATAGGAGAGACTGAAGTATTAAAATGTCAAGGGGAAAGTTTAAGAGTCAGGGAAAGGGTTTTCTAGGTATGTGTTAAAGTTTAGTTGGTCTTGAATACTTTTTTTTAACCTCGAGACAGTTATGAAAATTTTTTTACGTCCTCAAGTTCTTCAGTGATTTAATTTTCTATGTTCGACAGAGCCTCCCTGAATGTACGAAGGTGGCTGTAAAATTAAAATGAAGTGTCGATAGAAAATAATCTCCCACGCCATTCTGTTTGCAACATAGTAAAATTTAATTTGGAGGACGTTTCAGAAGTCTTCTTTACGAATCACACGTTTTTATTCGTCCATGTGATAATGATAGCAGGTTGTCGCCACTTTATGGCTTTGTCTGTTCGTCATATTTTATTTATTACTTTTTTAAAAAAAATTTAGTCTTAAGATGTCGTTTCTTGTCTTGTTTTTACTTTTACACGCCCTGACCATTTTTTACGAGAAGATTACACTCAGGCGTAATTATTTGATAAGTTTGATTAGTTTCTCTCAATAATTCGAACGGTTTTATGTCTTTTAATTTTTAAAAAGAAAAAAAAAATGTTTCATGACTTTTTCAAGAAATCTATAATAATAAGCCAAGAATATCACCTCTTAAAAGTTTTCCCGTATAAATATTCGTGATAATCCATATTTTTCAGTCTCACAATACCAAATTATAAATATCATTTTAATGCCTTACAGCTTACTGTAAAGACTCAATACATATTCTACTCTTTAGTACCTAAATTCGTAGAATCGCTCATCATGAATTTTTTTCAAAATTCATTCGTTGTGTAATTTCGACATATTTTGTTATGAGCCTTAAAATACCCCTTCCCCTCAATTAAAATCAACTAATGAAGAGGGTAATTGTCTCTCCTTCTTACAATCAGCTTATTGCAGTTAGTCACCTGTTACCTGTTTTCAGTATTATGTTTTCAAGATTTACTAATGCCATTAGCTTGAAACATGTAAAATTTTGATCAAATAAGTTGACATTAGTTTGATTTAAATATATTTTTCAGTTCATAATTTGAAGTTTAGTAACAGTCTATGTAAATGCCTGTCTTAGATTTATTACGAGCTTCAGTTTTTTAAACAATCTACGTAACCATTATTTCACCATCGGTTTAAAATGACATCTCTAACCATTTTCATCATGTTACATTTTTTTCTTTTCTATAGTTTTTTCTTCGAATTTATTAAGTTTCTTCTTAAATTTTACCTGTATAATGTTCCTGTCCTATTTGTATGGTCACAGAGGCTGAGAGTGAATGGAGAAGCTGTTGTACTCTCTTTACATACGGGACGTTAATATTTTTAATGACAGAATCTACATTGAGCGGGCAAAAATTTCCTCGGTACTCAAAGACTCACTTGAAAACGGTCATACATGATCGTTCACTGGAGGTGCCAGAATTTAAGAGGTGATAAATAGGATTGTGGATAGTAATGGAATTTGCCGTGATTCCATGGGTGTTTAGATCAGAAAGATGAAAAAAGCTACTTGATGTTTGATGACGTGTAGTCTTTTAATTATCTAAATTTATTTTTGCATTAAACGCCGTGCGCTTGTTAAACTTGAGACGGAAGCAGTGAATCTTTATCAGTTATTGATAGCATAGTTCATCTGGGCAGTGATCAACCAGGAGTTCCATTTCTCATTGCCCTATACACCTGTTGATCATGCTCCTTGCGGTTCGTCGAGAGTCTGTAACTGCAAGCAGACGAGTGCAAGTCTCTGTACAAGGAACCTAAATCCACAAAACTTATCAGAGTAAGAAAAAAAACTTGAACTTTGTCTCTGTATATTTCTGCCTATGTAATTTTTACATTCTTTGTCGCGTGCTTTGATCGTGCTTTTTATTTAGAATTTCAACCCATGGTGATTAATATACTATTGATAACCTGGATGTGAGCTCTAAAGGCGGAATTTATCGTGGAAAATTTTCAATGCTTTATGCATCGTTCCATGTTCCATATTCGAAAAAAGAAAAATTCAATTTGCTCGAAGGATGCAAGTAAATTTATAGGTTTCAGCAATAGATGAAATTCTGTAAAGCACCTATGATCTGTAAAAAATTGTATCAGGTATATTTTACCCTCTCATCCCAAGGACACCCTCAAACTTCCGCTTCTTCATATGTCTTAAAATTATTATAAAGTTTCGGCACTGTGCCTTTAATTTGTAGCCTATATTGTGACTTTACAATTTTTATCCACGCATCGCCATTTTTAGCCTCTTTAGAAATGATCATTGATATTTGCACCAAGAGTAAGTCGGAGGAAAGCCAGGTAACCAGTACAAGTGAGGCAATTATGCCAACTTAAATAAGTGAATATTTCTGCCAGATTATGCTCAATAATTATGATTTGTATTTTAACTTTCTTGTTTTTTCTTCCTTTAAGTCTCCTCACAGATTTTTACAATAGCCTACATGCTGCTGAGTCAGTTTAGTAGAAATTGATTAAATCTCTTCCGTGAAAAAAAATTCAATTTTTATTTTGACAAATATTCTCGGTACGCTCTCCCTCTTGTGTTATACAAAATAAATGTTCCTATATCTCTCATTTTCTAAAATATAATTTGAAAAAAAGAGGTTCAAAACCTTACATTGTCGATTGGTTGACTTTTGATATACCATAAATTATGAAAGTCGTTTCTATCTTTAATTGTTCTTAATTCCTTTCTTTTTAATCTGTTATATCGTGCGTATGGAGAAAGAGCAAAACAATGCGTTAGTGCCCTAAATTTCCCTGACAGCATCCCATTATGATGTTCTTTTAGTCTCGAAATTTCAATGTCCATTCGTAAGTTTTACTCCTATCGATCTAAATTTTTTATAAAGTTTCATTCCTTTATTTTTTTGGGGGGTATTCGCTTCTATCAACATGAGCTTTTTTGAATTTGTATTATATTTTTTTTCAACTTACATATTTTGTAGCCCTCAACGCCGAAGTTCTGCACTCCCTCCCCCTTTTTTCTATTTCTTTTTCAACTCCTCAATACAAATAAGTGGATAATTTACAAGTATCTCCTCATACCTTCAAAAGTTTCAACACTTCGAAATCTTCAGCATAAAATCTAACCTTCATTTAACTATTTTCAGTCTTTACATACTTTATTTAGGTATTTGAGTTTGAACTGGGCGGTTTCTTCCAAAAAAATAATTGCCAAAATTTTATGAAATTTAATCATATAGCTGACTAAACGGGTCATTCTATGAGGAAATCAGCACCTCGTTTGTTTAAAAAAATGACATTATTTTTTAATATTTAGCATCTTTTTAGTGTTTAGGTTTAGTGTAGGTAACAAAAAAACAGAAAATGAGATAAAATCTCCAAAAATTGCGAGGAAATTTTATTCCATGAAAATTATATTTAATTGATTTTATGTTTGTGGAATTCTAGACTTGTTTTCTCTATACTATTTTTGATTTGAAAACATTAAGGAAGAAAAAAAAAGAAAAGAAAAAAGACTGATGTAATTATAAATGTAATTATTACCTATTCAATTTTATATCTACTATTGATTTTAGATTTTTAATTTATTTTCTGTAAAAAGTATAGTCGGCCATTGCTCGAATGAGTAAATACGCCACAATTTGATGTCAGCTTATTCTTCAAACTCTAATGTACATACTCATTAGTTAGATGTTCCAGCTGAAATTATTTGTTTTTTTTTTTTCACTTATAGATAGAAGTATTTAATCATGCTTGTTAAAATCAATTCTAGAATGTAAAAATACGAAGTTTGTAACTCTGTGAGCAGTTTAATCAACATCATTTTATCCTTTTTTTATGCAGCAATTCTTCATCGATTGTTGAAATTGTCACTCTTTAATATTTCAATGCATGGAGAGGACTGTGTACCATGGAGTAGAAAATTCTGAGAAATTCCAAGTTGAAATCTGTGTGTTTCATTTCTGTTTTTTCAAAATTTCAAATTTGATTTATCAATTTATTTTTTTTATTTTCATTTTTTCACCATCTGTATCATTGGAAAAGAGCTAGATAGTTGATTTATATGCAAACTGTTGCTCTAACACTAGGACACAAAAGCATTTCGATGAATTAAATTATTTTTCCCAAAGGTTGTAGGTAATCAGCTGCCAATAATTTTTTTCAGCAGAATCGTTTAATATTCTTTTCCATCTTTGTTTTTCTTGGTTTATTTCTGGTTGGTTTCTTTGGTCTCTTATATTTGTTTTTCTTTTGCTCCATTTTAACTGTTTGACTTCAGTTCAGTCTATGAAATACTTCTGCTGGACCAAACAATGTTTGTTATTCTAGGAATAATTATTTACATGATAGTCTTTCTCTGTGCATTTCAGAAATCATGAATTTTACAAGTTATATTGTATATTGTGTGTATTTTTGTAAAATAAACTCATATAAAATATTATCATCTATCTCAGCCTTTTGAATCGCACCACTGTTATTTTTTTCAACAAACAACTTTTAAAATTCATTAATTTTCGGAAATTCCAAGTACTTAAACCTCAATAGTTGAATGAAGAGTGGAAATGCAAAACCTGGTAAGGTAACGTTCATGAATTACGTAGCACACTTTTTCAGCATTTTTGACTCCCCATTCCCCCTTGTAAAGTTTCCCAGCGCAACCCCGGACCCCCCTTAATATTTACGTAACGCTCAATGGACCCCTTCTGAGGATCTCAAAATTGTGGGCAACTTGTTTAGTTAGGAAGGACTCACTTTCAATGATAGTGTGAAAAATTACGTATGTTTTCTACCCAAAGGAATGGTTGCGTAATGCTGCGGCACTGCGCCGCCCCCCCCCCTTCTTGTATCGCAAGCTCATATTCCTCCATTTAGAGCGTTACATAATTTAGGCACGTTTCCCAAGCACCATTAGGTGTTTCTCCAATAATTGAAGGATTCGGAGGACAAGGCGCATACGAGCAATTTTCGAAAAATTGAGATATTAATTGTTTCAAATGAGACTTGTCTTCATATATATTCTGTGAAAAATTCGCTGCCAAATTCTAATTTTTAAGCTTGAAAAAGTCAGTTTGAACTTTTTTTCTGTCATATGGATTTGTGTAATTTCGGAACATTAAACACTTACTTCTCGAAATAGCAAAAACTGCACTTATGAGCCTTGTCCTCCAAGCCCCTCAAATTGTGCGTTGCTGTTATAATAACTGCAGACAAGCCATTAAAGCCATTATTCTGTGGACTTTCTGAGGAAAAATAGTAGCATTTGCACATAACCGAAAATGAAGTATAGAGGGCTCTTCATTCAACTACAGAGCTTTTGCATTCAAAATTTAGTGTCAATGTCGCGACCAATAAGCAATCGTCGGTAATCCGCACGGTCACCAGTTATATGAATAAAAATAATATAAAATTCAGGTACAAAAGATCAAGATTAGATTACTGATTTTTCCCTGGATGCTGGATGCAACTATTCGAGCTTCACGGATGTCTGTGTTGCATACGCACGGTAATGAAGGCGTTTTGACTTCCCGAGCATTAAGCGCTTCACTCGTGGGTCGTGGAGCGGTGCCGGCGGACAATACTGCGAAGACTACAAAAAATTTAGAGCGCCTTGAATTCTTCGTTTAGACTACAAAGACATCTCCTAGGTAAGAATATACAGTTGCTCCACAAACCATGCTCAACATCAGCACAACGCGATATCTAAACTGAAAAACGAAAAATAATCAAACTCTACACGTTCGAGTGGAACTATTCGTGCGAAAGAGAGCGTGTTGTGGAAAGACGAAAATTTGAAGGTGCTCAGTCTTTGATCTTAGCAGTACAGCCTTATAGAGTTGGCCGCCGCGCCACCATATCTAGGAAAGGATAGGGGGTCAGTGCACCCCCTCAATTTTATAACCCTCTCCAATTATAAAAAAACACGAAGTCCAAAATGTATAATTTTATATTTCTTCGACGTTATCTGTCTCATCCATTAGGAATATACTTCAAATTTTATCCAGCTGTATGTATATTTATCAGTTCCCCAAAATTTTTGGGATCTTAAAAGGGGAGGGGTCCGGCAAGCGTTACGTAATATTTCATTCATAAAATGCTTACATTTTTCGTTATAAAGAGTTGCAAGGGGGGGGAGGGGGGGGGTCCAAAATGCCGAGAAGTACGTCAGGTACGTAATTTTTGACCGCTCCTTTAAGATAGGACCTCAAAACTATGAGCGTTACTGTATGAAAGGTCTGGCCTTCCCGTTTAAATCAGGTTCGATCTTTGACACATTATTTTCTCCACTGTCTTTCAATTTCTTTATGCAGACACTCAATGTTGAGCAAGTAATTCATAGATAAATGAATGCAAATTGAATAAATTTTAAACATTCTCTTTTTTTTAACAGTTTCAACAGATTTACAAATTTTCATACTGGCAGGGCAACTATTTCAACCGTGGAAGGATTTTGTCCTTACAGCTTGTTGTAAGTATTAACTAATTCTTTTAATTCTAACAAATAATGCTCGATGGATCACCAGACAGAGAGCGAAATCTAGGACTACTACTACTACTACAGTACACGTTTCCTTATTGAATTTACGTGTGGTAGAAAACAGGAAACACATTCAAAATCTCCAAATGCAACTCAAAAATTCAACTCAGAATGGAGCAGGGGCGGATTCAGGGGGTGGCCACATGGGCCGCGGCCCATGGCGGCAAATCAAGGGGGCGGCAAATTTTGCAATTTTTTTTAAAAAAAAAATCGAATTTTGAAAACAAATTACAAACGAGAAAAGGCGACAAAATCTCTCATTTCCTGAGAGTATAGTAATTTCTAATTTTGTTGTCTTTCAGTGATAAAAGAGACAGCAGAGAGAGAGAAACCAAACACGCAATTTGGCCTGGAACGGCGCGACTTAGAGAGAAATGATGACGAGGACTTGAGATGAAAAGGAGAAGCCCTCAGCGCGGCGGTCGGCATGTAACACATATTAGCGCCTACAAGACTGCACGAATACTTCACGCCTTGCATCAAACACAGTGCGGTCACTGCGGTCAGCGTGAAACGGATAGCGCCTACAAGAATGCATGAATACTTCACGCATTGCGTCAAACAAAGTGCGGTCAGCGTGAAACGCTTAGCGCCTACAAGACTGCGTGAATACTTCACGCATTGCGTCAAACACAGTGCAGTCTGCGCGGCGCGGCGCAGCGCGGCGGTGGAAGTTAAATTCATTAAACTACATCTATGTTTGTTCTTTCATAATTTGTCCGTTCATTTCTTATGAATGGAAGGCCTTGTCCACACAGAGATAGGTTTACGGAACTTAACTTTCGCTCAAAGTTCCGTGAACTTTTGTAAGTAGTGTTAGCAGGGCTTTCCCAAAAAATATGTCCAACAAGAGTAAACGATTCTTATGCACCCCTCCCCCGCTGGCACGCTTACTTGATAGTTTTTATTGGTATTCCAAAACGAATGAGAAGGGGGCGGCAAAATACAGGCGGCCCATGAGCGGCAAGTAGGTAAATCCGGCCCTGGAATGGAGCATTAGTTGCCTTTGAGCTTGAGCTTCCGTTTGGATTTACTTTCAAGTGCCTGTAAATTTCCTTTGATTTCAACGAGTTAAGCCCTGGTGATTACCGCACAGGCTGGCCCTTGGGGCGCGAGCTTCTTGGAGGCGCCAAATTTTGAATTTTATCGAGATTATGAAGGAAGAAAAAAAGAAAATCCACGTCATCAGAAGCGAAAAAAATGTGTGGAATAGGTAAGTGTATGCGCTCCGCGCCCCTTATCTGGGCCCGGAGGCAAGAAGAAAAGGAGCAGGAGGGGGGGGAGGGGCAAAGAAATCATTAGCCTAGGGCGCCAGATTCCTTAATCGGGCCCTGGATGCATCTGCATTGATTATTTATTTATTTATCAGAACACATGTAGGTGCATGTGTCCTTAAGTGTCGTAAATCGGTACGTTTCACTATTTAGTTACAATATAGGGTGTAAACTAGTGCAAGTCTTAAGAAGCCAAATGATCGCTCCCCCTTCCTCCATCGCCGGTTTTAATGGGATCGAGCAATACTTTCGCAAAAAATTGATTGAAATTCGGAAAGGATAGACGCTCCATACGACGGCGCAATATCTCCGGA